GGAATACTCCTCCAAACTGGTCGTGCTGTGTAAATCCCTGACAGATTACCAGTTATAAAAATACTATATGTATATGGTTTCTCTTTTTACTGTCCATTGGGCACTTTAACTGGTTTCTTACTCCCCGATTTCCAGCGGTTATTTCTGAATTTCTTCTGAAGACCACCCCCGCCCTGTTCCTGAAAAAAATGAATGAAACAATAATTAAAATAACATTTCATCAGTGACAAAAACAAAGAATTGATTGTAGATTTCTACAGACCTTTTTGCGTTTCTGCTGTTGCACCTGCGTATCCACCTCCACCTCCATCTCTTCATCTTCATCTGTCTGGAAGTCATCTTCCTCCTTAGCTGCTTTACCCTCTACAACTTCTTCTGGCTCGTCTTTTAAACTGAACATCGTAGCTGTGGGAACATATAACAGGGTTACAGCAAACTAAAACCCCTATCCTAAAAGCCACCATTCAGATGGACAAGTGATTTAATTCATGAGGTTTTGCCTGGAGTTAAATTCTACAGACCACCGGGACGCACAGTTAGACATAATAACCATAATAAAAAGTGGACAAAGATGTCTACAGTGTGTGCATTTGGGATACTGACGGGGGTAGAGGTCACTCATGCTGTCTTCTGAGTCACTGTGATCCTCGTCACTCGATGAAGTTCCCGCATGTGTTGAGGTCTTCCCCCGACTGGCCTCCTCTTCAGGGTCTCTGGGCCTTTTCCGTTGTTGTCTTGCTGGAACATAATCAATCCCTAGCTCCACACACTCATCATCTAGAGCAGGAATGAGACAGTCATGTTAGTAAGTTGAAAGTGGAAATAATAAAATATGTCTGAGGTTGAATAGCTTGACTCAATATTGATCATACTGAGAGAACAATTTTATGGTTTTTGTCTATTCATAACTGTTAAAAGATGTGAACGCCCAGATTAAATTCTGTGTAACTGCTAGGCAAACATATAGCTCTAAAAAGAATGGTGTGATAAACGTTTAGTAATATTATCAATGAGTTTCGAAGGACCAAGGTACAATGGCAACACTGATAAGAACTGAAATAATACTACAGTGTACATATAAAATAGATGGTGAAGTCCATCAGTACAAATCTTTACGTGAATATTGTCACAAAATAACTGCCTGGATTATTTGGGAATGGAAGTCTTATAAGGTGTATGGCTGTACTCAACAAAAACAAATCTTACTCGACTAACACTCATCCACCAAGGTCAATTAGTTCATCAACACATCTGTAAAATGAGATTCTTCAAAAAGAATCAGGCAAAAGCTCCACTTTAAATATTGTGTTTTACGAGAGATGTGCTTATAAAAGTAAATGTTAAACAAGCAGATTTAGAAAGATTCTCTTGATCATAACAGTGATACATAGAAATAAAAAATGTAAGTAATCCGATCATCATGATAGCTTCCATTTCCTTCCCGGATTAGAATATCACACGAAAAGTCTGTGTCACGAAGGTTGTATAACATACCCAACTGTTCAAAAGCAGTCTATCACAACCTGTAAAGAACAAGGTGACATGCATGCAGATAAGTAATGGACTGACATTTTTCGAGGGCTTTCTTGAAGCGTTTCCCGTTGACATGTCTTAGGACATGATGAGGCTGCCGGTTAAGGTGTCTGAGGGTCAGCCTACAGAAGAGCTGTTTGCTGGGAAACAGACAGGAGGCATCACATTAAAGAGATATCACACAAATGCAGATAGCTACACGCATTAAGACATGTTCTGAGTGATGATACATTATAGCATTCCTAGTGCAATTTCTGCAAGTAAGATTAGAAATGTGATTGTCTTAATAAATAACATGGTAAACATTATTCTTCCTTACGGTTGTTTTGAGCTTGGTACAACATGTGGTTCATACTGTCTGTAGTTGAACTCGGCAGTCGTACTCAGTTTCTCATATTTCTTCCCTTTAGTAAACGCCTGGAGCTCCGTCAGGTTGCATGGAAACTCATGGCCATTCAGAGTGCATTTGATCTAAAAACAACAAATTAGGTTACCATGCAATCATCACAACACTTCACCCTGCATGGGTCCATGTGATCATTTAGCATTACGGCTAGCATCACATTGTACGACAGTGTGTTTCGTGAGATCTGATGGAATTAGCTCGCCAACCTTTTTGCCATCTGTAAACTGGAGGAAAGGATGGTTAAGAAGAAAGGCTTTGACGTCCGCAGGTAATTCCTCCATAGCTTAAATAACTAATCAAAACAGATTTATCGGTGTGTGAATAGTCCAACCCCTTACAGGAAATAGTGACTACACGTGGGCAAAGCATGGATGGGGCAAAGGGTCAGGCTCTGTTGCATGATATGTTGGCGCCATCTACTGACCAAAGTTAGGTAGGTCAGCTTTAACGATTGGATTAAGCTATTCAGCTTTAATTGTATTTAATTTATAAACAAGACCATTTGATTAAATAAATGTTGGTTATCCAAGTAAAGCTTTACGTTTTCAGTATTCTTCATAGGAAAACTGATCAAATAAGATATAGAGGGACACTAGTATTATATAACTGTCCACAATAAATCTGCTACAATGACACAGACAAGTCAAGACTAACAGTAAACTCAAGAATGCAAAAATAAACGTTAATTGGATAAAGTCATGTGCTCTTAGTGCGTCAAGTCAGCTGACAGGCAGAATCTCACAACTCAAAATCAAAGAAAAAATAAGATAAGATAGTTCACTCTGTCCATATTTTCAGAAATCATAAGAATGGTCGATAACAAGCTGTGGTAGTGAGTGGTAGAAAGTTTAAGAGAAAAAGAGGACATTTATCGAAAACGTACTCTTGTAATAGTAACGTATCAACACTTGAAAGATTTTCTGAGGTGTAGGGTTGAAAACTATCAACTCAACTATCGGCCAGGTTATCTGTACAGAGTGACTGCTCGTCTTTATTATTATAGCATCTTTGCTGAGAACGCAAAACCCCGCCCACATTTCCCCCACAATCCATTACTTCGGTAAACAAATAGCGGGTGACAAATGTCAAGTAAGCTAGCTACGATAGAATAAAGTAACAACAGCGCACTTTTTCTATAATACAATAAAAAACGTGAATATTTATGCAATGTCTGGACCAAATGGAGATCCACACATCTCAATTGACGATGGTATTATCGACGACGAAGATGAATTTGAGGAAGAAGGTAATGCACTAATGTGGTCATTCATTATAATCGGTGTAGCGTTATTGTAGTGAAGGATAATCACTCAGGTCACGTTCAGTGTGCTATTTCAGAGGTTTTTGGTCAATAAAGTCATAAGCAGCCATTTAAATTAGATTTACACCTTCACCTGATGTTAGGTGACACTGACTTTGAATTAGCTTAGCATTGTTGAGGGGCTTTCTGATTGAAGCGTGTTAATATAATTTTGAACTTCTGCATATCAATCATATCAATACATGTATTCTTATGGGTTTTCAAAGTGACAGTAGTTGCGTTGCTCTCTGTTTGTAGAGCACATATAAGATGTATTGAATTATCAGTGCTGTCTATCTGCTTTTTTTTTTTGCTCGAGATCTTGTTCAAATCCTCAAATTAAGAGTTCATCAAAGTGCATGTGTTCAGTAGACATTTGATTGAAATCTGTTTAAAAGTTGTCTGAGAATAAAAAGAAACCAAATTATTCTAAATTAATTGTTTTAAAATCAGATTTAGTAACACTATTTAGTTTTGTAAATTGTTGTCTTTTTAAGACAATTTTTTTTTGTGAAATCTCTAATTTAATCTCTTTATTTCTTATCTTAAAGTATATTATACACAGGTTAAATACTCAGATTTTGTGTTGGTTAATGATGGGGATTATCAGATTTCAATATTTTTTCTCGGCTTAATGAAACACGGTACATCTCAAGCTCTAATTAAGGCTACTCTCCTCTTGCCTGTCTTTGCCAGCTATTTACGCAATAAATATGTTCCTTATATTAATAGGAAGTCAAAACAAATGGTACGTTTGGAAACCTTAATCCTGTCCAAAGGAATGGGGATCCCAGGGATAAAAACATAGAAGCCTCTTTTTATGTTAAAGACCAAAAACTATTTTCTCAATAGAAGCTCTAACAAATCTCTTTCATGCATATCCACAGAGTTTGAAGCCATCAACTCGGCGCTGGATCAGATCAACTCCTATCTTGATGATATAGAAGATCGTAATGATTCACTGAATGGCAAACTGCACGAACTATTGGAGTCAAACCGGGAGGCCCGACAGGAGTTCAAGGCCCAACAGCTGCAGACTCCGGAGGAGCAGCTTTGTCCTGCAGAGGGGGACGAGTCCTCCAGCAAGGAAGACTTGGACAAGGACAAGGACAAGGGGGATTGAAAATGAATGATGATGAGGAGGGCTAAGCTCAGCAAAATACAGGGATGTAAATATTTATGAAAGTATCTAACTTCTGTCTTATTGACTACCTGGATCTGATCTCCTCAGTAATGTCCATATCGTTTTCCTCCTTTATTGAACTGTGGTGTTTGCTTCCACAACTGATCTTAGAGTGACCTCTAGCAGCTTCTTATACAAGTTGTAAACTGCAGTGACCTGGGAATATAACTGTAAAATCTCCTGCGTTGATGTTTAAAAAGCTAATCAGGCCCAAGTGGGACATATTGAGAACAATTCTAAAGCCAGGATGACATATGAACTTTATTAAAAAGCTGATGCATTTTTTATTTTAACAATACAACATGCTGATATATATACAATGACTTGCTCAATGTTTCAGGATTTGTCCACGTGTGTAGTGTTGATCCAGTTTTGTGTCGTCAGCTTTCTGAAATGGTATGTTCTTGTCCCAAAAAGTAAATATGCAAAGATCAAATGTCTACCAGTTTGATATAGAGTTGTATCTGTAGCATGACTGTAAATGTGCTGTCCTGTTTGTGTTAGGATAAGTCATGCTAACAAGTGTTTGTATAAGTTAAGTGACCACAAAAGTTAAAATAAAGTCGACCAAGTGCGGGAATTGTCAGACATTTTAATATAAATTAAAATGAACCCCCCCAACAGAAAACAAAAATCCCCAAATCCATAACTTCCAGCAGTTAGAAAACATCCCGTTTATTCACCTCCATTTAGTCAGTAGCTGAATAAAAATACAATAAGAAACATACAGCTTTGTCTGAAATTATCTTTTACATGTCCTTTTCTCTCTTCTGTTCTGAGCTTCACGTCTTCATCATAAGTACGTGTCATGTGACCAGGGGCGCCGCCAGGGATTTTGGGCCCCATGAAAAGATAATCACATTGGTTACTTAAACATTTATTTCTTAATGTTCTAAAATTGTTTGGGCCCCCGTCAGTCACGGGCCCTTAGAATCGTCCTAACTTTTCACCCCCTTACGGCGCCCCTGCATGTGACAGTCGCCACCAAGACTACAATAGTTGCTACATGCGTCAGCAAACCACTTGTGTGCTTCAAAATATCCTTCTCAGATGTGGACGATGAAATGTTTCCAGAACGTCACACTAGTCCCCAAACCTTGTGACTGCTGAAATGCTGGAACCAAAGTTACACATTTGTATGATCATAGGATGGTCTACTGTGTGACTGCTACTCAGTTAGTTTGTTAAAATAGAAACACTTTCCTCCTCACAATAACTGTGGTTCCTTCTGTCCAGTGTATAGCAAACACAAATATCTTAGAAAATCAATGCAATGATAAATTAGAGGAAAATGAGCAACTACCACTAACAGCATTGTAAGACAATGGAAAACACTTTTTTTCTGAATGCAGGCACACTTTACTATCCATTCTACGCTTTTATCGTTATGAATTATGAGTTAGAAGACTGATTTGTGGGTCAATCTTTAATACCCAGCAGCATATACATGTCTAAACCGACGAGCTTTCAAATATCCAAATGAGCAGATAGTGCAGACTTGTGTGGATTCTTAGTTTAGAGCCTGTTGAATCCCAACACATTTTAAACACTTCATTGTGAAAAAAATAACATGAAATAAACTGGACCCCCTGCTCCCCCCAAAACGATACTAAAATGCCCTGAACAAAGCTTTGATCAGATTCAAGGTTCAACATGTCTCAACACTCCATCTAAAAGTACCCTGTTTAACACTTTAGTTTGAAAAACAAAAGACGTTATTCGCCCAAACACTTACATTGCTTACATTCTCCTTTCAGCTCTCTATAAGCATGTGCCATTGTTGAAAATGTCTCCACTTGTACGTTATATTAAAAATAACAATCACTCTTCTAGCTAGCTTAATAATGAGCAAAAACAATATCCTGATCCTTGAGGACAGCAGGGTGGGAAATTAACTTTTTGGAGGGACTACCGGCCTATTTGGTTTCTTGAACGCAGCATAATTATAAAAAGCCTAGATGCTCTTTATTTAGGGGTCATAAGCTATTACTGAGATTTTAATAAATAGTTCTGAAAGACGGGGTAATTGCTCTTTTAAGCAGATGTCAAATGCAGATCTCCTTGTTTGGGAAATGCATGTAATACTTTACATAAAAAAAACTGTATACGTGTGTATACTATACGTTTTTATCAGTGTCTCAATCCCATTCTACTTGTTAACAGTCAATTATTTGCAGTATAGTTCCCTTGTGGCTCTGTGTGGTTGTACTTCAGCTGAAGACATATGGTAAATGGTCATAAATAACATTTTACACAAGATAAGATTTGTACCTGATGATGGAGCGAGATGAAATTAAGGGGCCGCTAAAGTTACTACAATTTAAATACACTTTTAGTTTACTTGGGGGGTTCACAAAGCGTCTTTCTTTTTTTTTACCACCTGTGTGCAAGTGACTTTTTGAGTTAACTACACATTGCAATAAACATGCCGAAAAATGCTTTGATTTTAGTAAGAAGGAAGAAATTGGGACAGAATGTGTATCGAGTTGATAGTGGGTACCCAATATAAGAAGCTTCTCTTTATAAGGAAAACAGTTTGATCTGAACTACAATGACCTAATGTGTATTGCTGTAATGTAGTGGTGAGGCTAGAGATGATACGACATCATTCTTTGACCGCAGGCCAACATTTGGACACTTACCCACTGGTTTAACATGTATGCTATAGCTGTCAGGTGTTAATTTCCCACCCCGGGAGAGCATCACATGGGAAGTCATGTTCCACCATGATGTATTATCAATCTTCCTACATGTGTGTGGTCAATTCACACTTTCCGACATGGAGAGAAGCGGGGCTGCTCACACCTTGGTCTCAGTTTCATGAAAGCACCTCATCACATACGGACACATCCGGTCAGTATCAAGTTACATTTCTGCCAGGTTCCACTCTTTCCCCACCTCCTCTCTGACTCAGCGTCTGTTTGTGGCCCTCCCCGACTTGCGTTTGGGTTTAGCCTTTGCCTTCTTTTTCCCTGGGACAGCAGGAACCTCCTTCTCTTCCTCCTCCTCTTCCTCCTCCTTCTCCTCCTCCTCCTTCTCCTCCTCCTCTTCTTCTTTAATAGCATTTGGCTCCTCTCCACTGGCAGCAGGAGGCTCAGCTGGCCCCTCCATATCTACAGAGTCCTGGGATGTCTCTTCTTCATTCGTTGTCGTCTCTTCTTTCGTTGTCTCTTCTTCATTCGTTGTCTCTTCTTCATTCGTTGTCTCTTCTTCTTTCAGTTGGAGGCGGAGCTCTTGGTCTGTGCTGTCAGTGCTGGTGGCTGAGGTGCTGACAAAGTCCTGTGAGGTTGGTTCTGCTTCTTCCTCCTCCTGTTGCTGGGTTTCTGGATTTGTCAGTAAAACAGAGTTTTCCTCAGGGGGGGAGGTTTCCACAGAACAGTCTGTGGGGGTCTCGGTCACAGGAGGCCTGAGGCTGTCTGCAGCGGGGAGACACTCTCTGGAAGATTCAACAGCGTCGCTCTTCAAATCTCGGTACCTCTGAGAAGACGAAGCATGAATATATATTACAAATACAGAAGGACATTCTCCAAGGGAAACACACGTTAATGCACATCTTTTTACATGCAGTAAACCCTCGAAAGAATACTGGGATTGAAGTTGCCGTTCAACAATCTGTGACACAAAACAATTCACACAACTATGAATACTATAATTAGTAGAAACAAGTAGATCAACAATAGTTTGTGCCAGAGATAATCAGTTATACTCTTTTTTTAAGTAAAAAAACAAGGTGAGTAAAAGAATGGAAAGACCAACCTTGAGCTTCTCAAAGTGCTGCATTGATTTGCAGTGGGTGTGCAGGGCAGAGGATTCAAAGTGGTAGAACTTGTTGCAGAGTCTGCAGATAAAACCTGCGACTGGAACAAAGAAACTGGACCCTGCAGTAAAAGAAACCAAATAATTAACATCGCCTGAATGTTATGGGTAAATCCAAACAATAACGCGTAAAAAAGGTCACTTAAAAGGACTCACCATAGACTGTGTCAGCGTCATACTGCTCGTCACTGGCCATGTCCTTCAGAGTCACTTCTTTAACGGAGGAACAGTCATCCTGTCACAGTAAACAAGTATAGTTTAACAAACTACAGGGTCCTAATAGTGTTATTTTAGATCCTAAGAGAATGTGGTCCGAATTGAAAACAAGAAAAACATAAAAGCAAATCACCTGTTCGTTCATCTGTTTATCCTCTTCCTCCTCCTCCACCTCCTCCACCTCCTCGCCCTCCACCTCCTCCAATGAGAAGCCCTCTGTGTCCAGCTCCGTCAGCTTGCCTAAGGCCTCGCAGCCCTCCTGTTCCTGAAGCTAGTGAACAGTACAGCATTAATATTTCAATCCGTCTTCATTTACGGGGGAAATACTAGCTTGTTGTTAAAACGTTTTGAAATCATTATAAAACACAGATACCTCCTCCACTTTCCGTCTGTGATCCTGAGACCGCAGGTGCTCCACAAAGATCTGGGAGGTCCTGAAACGTTTCTTGCAGACAGTGCAGGAGGAGATGACGGCTCTGCTGGCAAGCTGAGGAGAGATGAAGGGACAACAGGACATGAATGATTCTTCACATTTGAAAACAACCAGAAAAGCAGTTTGAACCATTTTGATAAAGAGATGTGCTTATCTATAAGCAGGTTTACTTTGTGTTCCTCGGTGCGACGGTGCTCTGTGAGGCTACTGGTGAAGTGGGTGTGACAGGTGGCACACCAATGCTTCAAGTCAGACTTCTTCTCTCTGCAGAAAATAAAGACAATATTCATAAATCTATTCATGAAAATGAGAAGCTAGGAAAAAGACCCCGTTGAAGGAGACAATCAAAAAGGTGCTGACTTATCTCCCTTATCTTTTGACTTGAGAATGGTTTTAAAAAATGTATAAAAGACACAAAACAAATGCATACTGCTTTAAAACTGACCCGTCTTTAATTGCTTCCTGTAGGGACTCGTGCACTCGTGGCATCAGGGTGACCAGGCAGGCATTGCTCATGTGTTGGATCTCCATCATCCTCTGCTGGTGCGAAACACTGTTCATATGACTCTTGAAGTTCTGAAAAAAAAAACAATACCATTAGAAGATAATAGTTTATGAGATAACATGCATTATACGTTTCCCGCAACCTTTCAGACTAGCTAACCAAGGCCTATGTATGTGAATGTGTGCGTCCATTCAACATACTTGCTGGTTGTGGCAGGTAATGCTGCAGAGGTAGCAGTAGAACTTATTGGTGCCATCCGCTACACCCTCCTCTTCCTCCTGGTTGTCTGCTGAAGCTAAAGAGGCGTCTTTCCCCTCTGAGAGGAAATCCCCCTGCTGGTCCTCTTCACTCAGCCTGCCCGATGGGGACGTAGCTGACAAATGGCTTTGCTCCTACAGAGAGGTTCAAACCAGAACTAAACCCAGTGTCCCAAAGTATTTATGTAACTGAGGTATAAAGGCGATAAACAGGAGGCCATCAGATAGTGGTGGTCAGCATTGAGCACCACATGACCCACGTAGCGTTTGCAATAGTGATTTAGCGAATTCACAATAGATTATTTAGCGTTAAAATTACTTTGTCTATGACCCGACTATGCCAAATAAAGACTCCTCACCTCAGTAGCTCTGCTCTCCTCCAGTGCCTCAACAACATCCGACCCCCCAGGGGAGCCTGCTTCCTCCATAAGGATGCAGTCTGGGAAAAGAGGGTAAAAAAGCAAAAATCGAAGTTATCATCTCAACTGACCTAAACTACACTAACATTAAATGACTGCTCAGTTAAATAAAAGTAGAGTATTTAACCATCTACTCAATGTTTCTGGGGGTTTTACCTCCAGGCTGGCTGTCCTCTGTGTTGCTGTTAGTCTCTGAAAACAGAAGATCCCCATCTGTATCTGCGATGGTGATCGTCTCAACAGCACAGTGCTCCTTGGGATTCTCTGACCTGCAGTGAAAATAACAAGATTTAGCAAACGAACAAATAACAAATCTTTAGGTTGGTGTAAAGTCCTTCCATGATCCATATTTCGGCTGGGTATTCTTGCTGCCTCCATGGATAGGACATTAACACATTAACACAGTGGCTGTAGGAGCCATGGCAATAAAAAACATTTTCCATACCCATCTGTCCTCTGCTTCTTCACTACAGGTTCTTCAAGTTGCTCCTCAGACGACTGCGTTGGTTCATCCACTTCTCCCACGGCACCATCTGTGCGTGGAAAAGACAAAAAACAAAGTTGGAAATAATCACAAAGAACATTTTCTATACAAACAAATTATTCTACAAACAAATGCTCACCATTAAACTTCTTCATGAAGTCTTTAAAGTCACACATGACATCGCCTTAAACCTTAAAGGTCCCATGTCATGCTTTTCCGGTTATTACCCGTCCCCTTGTGTGTTATGTAGCTTTTTATGTAAACGGTCTGCAAAGTCACAAACCCTCAAAGTACACCCTGTAGCGAGTGGAGCCTCTTACACTGTGGCGCGCTTACACTGTAGGTGCGGCGCCAGCAACCAGGAAACCACACCAGTAACCCAGCTCACACTGTCCGCTCCTCGCAGCAGCGAGCCGCGCAACGTCCCGCCAACACGGCACCCAGACCCCACGCAGCATTCTCATCTGTTTGTCATTACTGGTGTCATTTTCTGGTTGCTAACGCCATTGTAACACATAATCACTGATGTTCCGCTGTAACGGTGGTGGACTCATCAGAACAGAGGGGGCGAGCTGACCAATCAGAGCACACTGGGCTCACAGGGAGGGGGGGGCAGGAGCTCCAACAAGCCGTTTAGGACAGAGAGTGAATACACATACTATACAGAGATGCTGTATGAGAAACCAATGTGAGTTTGGAAAATTGCACAATGTAAATCTATTCTAGTAGACCTCAACAATGGAATTATGATCAGTAGAAATGGCCATGTCATGGGACCTTTAAAGTTTTCATTACTTCTCATCTCTTTCGGTCAGAATAAGCACTTTAAAATAGATGTTAGACTAAGGCTCTAATACATGTTTCAGTGCTGGTGATTTGCAGCTCTACCTGTTTCAGTCTTGTCCCCTGTTTCAGTCTTGTCCCCGGCTTCATTGGTACTGCTAGCTGCTGGTTGGTCGTCTGTGCTCCCTGAGGCCATCTGTTCGCTGTCCCTCTTCCTGTCAGGCTGACGGGCTGCAGCGTCCTACACAAGAGAGACCACGATAGGATCACAAATATACAACAAAGTCTGAGATAACATTGCAGCTATGAAACAAAAGTGTCTCATAGCACAAATCACTGACAACAAATTGTTGTGTTTGAATTGAGTAACGTTGTTCAAATACACTTTTGTATCCAATCAATTGTCCAAAACCCATGGGTATTTAGTATACCATTGTAAAAAAACTGTAAATATTTTCATTTTTAGCTGAAACGTATTAATTGTTCTGCATTTATGCTCAAAAACGACCAATGTAATTACTATCACTTAATAAATAACATATACAAAATAATGGAGAATAATTCTCTAACCATAAACACATTGATTAATCATTTCAGCTCTACTATCAATATCAAATAAAATATACAAAATAACCACATGTTTGCATTTGGGTCAAATATGACTTCATTACAATGAAAGCATTAGCTGAAGTTATAAACACATGAGTTGATGCTTGCTGCATCAGTTCTTATATTAACAGATGTTTACTTGTTCTGACTAGTCTAAAGTCAGACCTAAATTAAAGTTGTCAATAATGTCATAATCATAATGGTGCTTTTGTAATTACTGCAGTAGTGGTGGAAGAGGAGGAGGAGGAGGAGGAGAAGGACGAAGAGGCTGTGGTGGGGGTGTTGTTGTTGTTGTTGTAGTAGCGAGCGTGCTGGTGGTACTGTCGGGCAGCTGGGTAACCCATCATGGGGGACTTCATGGCCATGCCCATGGGGACCGGGCCGAGCAGAGAGTTCCTGGACCCGGCAGTGAAGAACTGACGGAACTGCTGTCCAGCCATCCCAAAGCCCCGCATGCTACCTGAACGAGCATGAAAAGAGACGCATTCGTAAGAAAAGACGCACATTTAAACACCTTGGAAGCTAGTTTTCCAATGCTTCTAAACACATTGTCTGTGTAAATGTCCAACTAAAATGTGCCTGTTCTTTATGATTTCCAGTTGTCTTTTAACTTGAATCCAAACTGTACCCTGCATCTGCTGCATCAGTAGGGCCCCCTGCAGCATGGGATTGGGGGCCATGGACCCCTGGCACATGTTGACCATCCTGGGAGGAGGGGCTGACTGCTGAGCGCCAGGAAGGGATCTGCGCAACAAATACACATGAGGAAATAAACATACAGCATCATTTCATAAGTACATTTGCAGATATATGTTTTATTCAAATTATTCATCAAACCTGGAAATGTATTTTACGCATCAGATATAACATGGACAAAGCTGCACACAAGCTGCTAATGTTCATTCTCATTCTCATGATTATGATTGTTGTGTGTAAGTGTGGCGCAGCTCAGATATGGATTAGCCTTTATCAAAGATCTTTCTATATCAGCTCTGGCGCAGATTCTATTTCAGGTTTTATTATATTCTTTTATAGCAGAAATTACAAGGCAATTTACAAAAACATATGTGTATTTGTCATTACATTTAACAAAGCTGGTACAGTATAGAGTATGAAGGGACAATATGCTGGCCGCTGCTTTTTCTCGTCCTCAGAATAAAATCAAAGGGACCAGCTGACCTGAGGATTAAAGATAAGAGTGACAAAAGCCGACAGGTACATGACAAATGCCCACAGCGTATGTTATGGTTTTATCATAAGTGAAGATAATAATTGCCAGTAATCCTGCAATTAAAAGTGTTTTATATAATGTGCAGTTTATCAACACTACCTTTGGGCAGGCCAGATAACAGGCCTTTGCCAACTCTTAATACCTGATACAGAAAGACAATGGTGATTTGGTTGGAGTTAGAAGTTCTCGTTGGTCACAATAACAAAACAAACTTTTAAGAAAAGTAATATCGCATAGCTGCTTTTCTATCTACTAAATGTACTTCATAATAACAAACATAACATATCCTACCTGGATGAAATGCCCCAACAACAAATAACCAGAGGTGGGAGAAGCATTCAGATCTTGTACTCAAGTAAAAGTACAAGAGTTTAGGAATACTCTGTTACAAGTAAAAGTCCTGCATTAACTCACAGTTACTCACAAAAGCATAAGCATAAAGATATACTTAAATTACCAAAAGTACTCATTATGCAGATAGGCCCATTTCAGGATAATATACGATATGTTTTGTATGCTGCTCAATAGCTTGTGAATGTTACTCCAGGTGTAACTAAAGTCTTATTTAAGTGTTGTTTATATTTCACATCATTAATCCAAATGTGCAAAGTAACTAAAGATATGAAATAAAAGTAGTGGAGTAAAAGTACACTATTTACCTCTTGTAATAATTGTAGTCAGGTATAAGACATTTCAAAAAATTGAAATACTCAAGTAAAGTACAAGAAAATTGTACTTAAATACATGTATTTAGTTACTTTACACGACTGCAAATAATTATGTATATAGACAGGCTTTACACATATTCAATTTAAATATATACTGCCCACTGTACACTTTAATTAATCACAGAAACGTACAGTGGGGCTTGTGTTGTGGTTTAAGACTCAGCCACAGCCAGCCCCACATACCTCATCCGGAGGGCCCTGCCTAATCACCGGGCTCGAGTTAACGCTCTTACCGCTGTGCCTGGTGGTGGTGATGGGCGACATGATGCCGAGGAGGCGGCTGTGGCGGAGGGGGAGGCGGAGGCTGCTGCTGGAAAAGTTGTTGTAGCTGCCGCAGGTGTTGGTGAAATTGTTGCTGTTGTTGCTGCTGCTGCTGCTGCTGGTGGATGTGCGGATTGAACATAACGGGCTTTAATTTCCTCCGTTGATGTTACACAGTGTAAAGACCACCAGCGATAAGGTGACACTGTTTTAAAAATCCTCAAGAGGAGGTCTCTGAGAGTCTCTGAATGGAGAGAGAGAACAAAGTTGTGTCATTATCTGTCCCGTTGTCTTTGTTGTACAGACGCATTCAATAACAGTGCGCACCTCCTGAGACAGCGAGTCGCTCTCATATTTCGAGATGACAACTAGCTAGCACTAGCATGTAAGCTAACAACAATTTTCTTTTTTTGGTTTGCATGGTTTATTTATCATTTATTCACCTTGTTAGCTAACATCATAACGGGAACCGTGATTTTTTAGAAGAGAGCGTCATGTTATTCAATAACGAACACAAAATAATGTTAGAAAAAATGAACAAGCTACACCTGCTATGAAACAAACGAAGCTAGCTACATTAGCCACCGCACAGTGACTGAACACAACAAGTTAGCTTAGCTTAGCTTAGCTTAGTTTAGCTTAGCTTAGCTTCACAATAGCTAGCAAACTTACGGATAAAAACACAGCGGCTACAGGGGTACTATCTACATTTTACTATAGCAACCGTTGTAACGACTTACATCTCACAGAGGAAAGCAGCGATGTATTGTTGATAATCCAACTAAAATAATAGCAGAGAGTTAAATTATTTCTCTCAGTCCCGGTTCAACTCGCATAAAGCAGCGAACCGTCTTCAGTCAGTGTGGTGAGGTTACAGCACTGTGTCGCCCCCTGGCCCCTGGTGGCTGTCTGGAGAGCTGGAAATAATATGCTCACATCATAAAATAGCTTTAGATAATGTAGCTATTTATGATTATAATAAAAAAGTTAGTGATTCATTCCAAAATCACAGTGCCCTCTTTAATTAAATATCTCTTATACGTTTTTAAGCTTTTACATTTTACACTTGAAACACTAGCTAAATGTAAATAATTCATAAAAGTGGAACATCATTTTACACTAGCATCCACTGGAAACATTGGAAATGGGAAATAAATCATGTTGAAACAAACACTGCATTGTAAATATATACATTATATACAGCAGTAAACAATGGGCTACATTATAGTAGATGTATATTATAATATTATTGTAGGTTATAGCTTGTGTCGATGTTGTACACATAAAAACACTATATACCTGTATTTACAAATGTTTTCAATTGTATTTATTTGGTATTCATATTTTAGTACATACACCATATTTGCATGCTTTATTTTTACATTAGATAAGAAGTTGTAGCCCCCTGGCCTCTGTCCAGGGTTCTAACAGATTCAGCACCATGGACAGATCTATAAGTCTGTTTGGGCAAAAAACATTGCAACTATACGTAAAATGTCCCACCTTCAACTTGCAAAAAACAGTCAAACAAGATTTAACTTTAGAGAAAAAGATAAACAAGACATCCCTTTACTGTAAACAGCACAGTTTGACAGAAAACTACTGTGAGAGTAAACCAGTGTCACCACCAAGCGGTGTGCATGGGGAACTGCAGGGATCTCTCCAGAGTCCTCATCCTCCCCCCTGCTGCGCTCGGTGGAGAGGAGTAGTGTACATGCTCGGTGACGGAGATAGTCATATAGCTGAGGTGATCTGACACACCGAGGGGCTGCAGTCAATGAGGGGGATAACCGAAAAGTGATCCGGTGTGTGCGCAAAAAGTCCCTTGATACGCGAGGGTGGCGAGGAGGGACGAAGAGGAAAATAAGAGATTAATCCCTCCCTGCTCTGACAAGGAAGATAGACTGCCCATTGCATCGCAAAGATGGGGAACCAGGGGATGGAGGATTTGATTCCTCTGGTGAACCGCATGCAGGATGCCTTCTCCTCCATCGGGCAGAACGCGGACCTGGACCTGCCGCAGATCGCTGTGGTGGGCGGCCAGAGTGCAGGGAAGAGCTCGGTGCTGGAGAACTTCGTCGGGAGGTAAGTAGCTTTTCCAGGAAATGCATGTTGGTGCATCACACAAGCGGACGCAATCGCTTTCATTTTTTTTTTACACTTAACCCCGTCCCCATCCCCCCCTCTGAGGCAGCTTTGGATACACCTCCCAGCCTTGGTTAAAAGGTTTACATGGTGGCACCTTTCACCAGTTGTATCCCTCTTTCACAACACCAAGGCGAGGAGATTATTTTGTTAGGCCGACATAAATCCCTGATGAAGTTCATCTGATGCATTCAGAGATCCACACAATGCTGTTGAAATGACTTTGCATTTAACATCAAACCATAAGTGATTTAAGTGTGACATTTTTCTAAGTGGGTTTCTAAACTCTATAACTTGGTCCAAAATGTCACACATTTGCACATGTTTATCAATACAAACCTTATGACATCAGTCACAGGGGCAGGGGCAGCTTTTACGCTGACTTCCTACACACAATTACAGGCACCTTGATGGATGTGTTGTTTGTTTTCTGTGGCAGGGCTACCATTTTGATGTCCGAATCAGGACGTGTGTGTGTGTGTGTGTGTGTGTGTGTGTGTGTGTGTGTGTGTGTGTGTGTGTGTGTGTGTGTGTGTGTGTGTGTGTGTGTGTGTGTGTGTGTGTGTGTGTGTGTGTGTGTGTGTGTGTGTGTGTGTGTGTGTGTGTGTGTGTGTGTGTGTGTGTGTGTGTGTGTGTAGAGAGGTTTCTCACTGTCAGAGCTGCTGCTGATGCAAAACAAAATGAGGGGAACAAATCTGATCTATTATGCTGCAGTATGACCTTGCATATCAAGAGAGAGAGAGAGAGAGAGTCCACCTGAGCTTTGAGCCGTTGCAGCTCAGCCCATCTGTCTATCAGTGCTTATGCTGTAAGTGAAGCTTACTAAATGCAGGCAACAACATTGGTGTCACTACCTTACTGTTGTCAGCTCTCTATGCTTGTGTTTCACTTGATCTGAAGATTTTTTGTGGTCTCATTCCTGTGTGTGTGTGTGTGTGTGTGTGTGTGTGTGTGTGTGTGTGTGTGTGTGTGTGTGTGTGTGTGTGTGTGTGTGTGTGTGTGTGTGTGTGTGTGTGTGTGTGTGTGTGTGTGTGTGTGTGTGTGTGTGTGTGTGTGTGTGTGTGTGTGTGTGTGTGTGTGTGTGTGTGTGTGTGTGTGTGTGTGTGATTCAGCAGTATTTCCTGCAAGGTCAGACTGTAGTCACTCTTTGGCTCCGAGCCAGTTCAGCACTACTTTGAAAAAGGCCTAAGTATCACAAGAACAGAATGTAATTTAAACTATTGGAGAGAGTCCACCTGTGCAGTAACTCACAATATTCACGTTCCCTCTTTTCTTACATTGGTTTCACAGTAGGTTCTAAAGGTTCCCCTGATGATGGCCAGAGTGCTTATCCCCACTGTAACAGCTCAGTAGGTGAGGCATGGCCACTGTTTACACGTCAGGGTAATCCACACTTAATGCTACCTGCATCTCAGCTTTGTTTAAAAAGGGCCATTTTTAGAATTAAGAAAAAAACTACACCCATTTAGCATTGCACTATATCCAAGGAAACAAGAGATTCACTTTAACAGTAACCTTTCATCATGTTGGTTAACATTTTGGTGACATTCATAGTTAAACAAACGCACGTGAAAACAAAGCAATGTCAGAAATGATTGATTCTATGTCCATACTTTGTACCATAATAATTGTGAAAGGCCTACATAAAAAGCAAACTTTACATTTGTAGAATATATGTTAACTATATATTTACAGCTCTTTTTGAAAGGTTTTGCTCAAATATCAGTTAATCAATGAAAAACACAGGATTGTACTTTTAAGTAATTACTGTTAAAAGCTCCACTTTACACTCATTAAGGGGGCTCAGCTGTAGTCATGGAAACAGCTTGAGTCTAATTACACTGCTTTACCCGAGGGACCGGGGATGCATCATGACAGAAGGTAGAGAGGGAAACATATGAAATATTATTACAAGGACATTTATAAAGATGTCAAAGGATTTGTTTGTGTGTGCCAGTAAAAGCTGCAGTCTGCATCCTGTCATGCAGTGTGTGTGTGTGTGTGTGTGTGTGTGTGTGTGTGTGTGTGTGTGTGTGTGTGTGTGTGTGTGTGTGTGTGTGTGTGTGTGTGTGTGTGTGTGTGTGTGTGTGTGTGTGTGTGTGTGTGTGTGTGTGTGTGTGTGTGGTGTGTGTGTGTGTGTGTGTGTGTGTGTGTGTGTGTGAGAGAGAGTGTGTGTCTGTGTTATTGCATGCTCTCTCCTAGTCCAGCTGCAGTGACGTCGCTCAGGTCCTCCCATCCTCCTTCTCCCCCATTGTGTTTGCGTTATCTTCCCTCACCCACCACCCACTTACAACACGCTGTACTGTGTGTTTAGTTGCCACAATCTTTCTTCCCTCCATCTCTATCTTCCATAGATGCCTCTCAGACAGTCATTTCATGTGATGTTTCCACCAAACCAGCTCTCATCTTTGGCTACTATTAGGCAAATTGTTCTCCCTCTTAACAGTTAATATTGCTGCTATCGGTTAGCAAAGACAACCAATACAAAAGTATAGAAGACGTATACATATAAGAGACACATTAAGGAATATGATATGAATATGAATAAGAGCTTGTTTGGGTTTCCTTTTATCACGTCATGCAAATTATAATACATAGGTTATATGGCTTTTACGGACACACTAGCAACTAGAGAATTGATTTAAAGGAGTTAGAAACCGCTGCTCCTTAGTTCACAATGACACATTTCCTTATAATCTGGATTGCAGGTGTAAATCAGGGACAAGGACAACCTCTTAGGTAAACAAGCTGAGGAGAAACGCAGTGCCTGAAGGTATGAGGGAGCATGTGAGGATGCTAAGTGTTTCTTCTCTGTCCTTCAGCACTTTTTGATCCTGCTTTCATTATTTGTCCTCAGAGAGAGTTTTCTGTTCTCTTTGTTTTCATCGCTCAGTTCTCTGTTTATCACCTCGGTTCAACTTCCCATTCTCTGGGTTTGTCTGCTTCATTCAGTTTAAGCGCTTTGTTGTTGTCTGAAAATGAAAGTGCCCCACTCCAAAGTAGAGGCAGCTAGGTTAAACTAAAATGACAGACATACAGACACTCTCTCTTTTTGAGCAATTTACATCAAAGTCTGCCATTACAAACAATTCAGTTCATTGCTTTATTGTGTTCCTTTCTTGTCTTACACAATAACATGTTTAGACATGTTTGGCTGGTTATCTAGGGATAACACTTTTTCTTCTATTTTTGGATGAAAAGCAGATTTTCATGTTTTGAAGTGATAGGGCAGTAGATATCTTTTTAGGCTGCATATAGTGATTATTTTCATTACCGTTTCATCTTTTTTCCCCCTATACATAGATAACCATTTTAGTCTATAAAATGTAAAACAAATGTAAAATAATGTAATCAGCAGCTGCCAGTTATAGAACAGATAATGACACAAAATAAATCAGTTGCTGTTAACAATAACGCTTGTCATTAAACCCTGTCATTTGACTTAAAGCAACAATAAATCCATATCAAAATAGTTTAGTTTAATTGAATTAGCCATTAATACATTTCAGTTCCATGTTGAACACACAGGTTCAGCATCACTGAACGGTCCTCCTCTACCTTTGTCCCATATGCCTGCGTGTAATTCCACAGTTAAGAAGACAGTTTCCTGCTTTGAGACTGAGCACAACCCGTTTCCCACCCTGGGTCGGTCACACAGTCTGTTAGCCTCCCACGAGTCTCATTATCAGAAACAAAGCGAGATGTTCCCGCTCTCCAGAGCCCGACACAGGCCGGG